AGTAATGCGTTATATTACTGCGTTACAGCAAAAAGTAATATACTACTGTAATATTATTACTTTTGTAATGCGTTACTCCCAACACTGATTGTTTACCCCTAAGTCGAGGCTTAAGTGTAGGGGAGATCGTGCTTTCTGTATTGCTGCCCCCAGGCTTTGGAACGCCTTGCCATTATCCATTAGACAAGCTTCTTCTCTTAATATTTTTAAGTCCAGGCTAAAGACATTTTTATTTTCTAAAGCGTATGGCTGATGGGATATTTGTATGATTTTATAACTTTTCTGTTTGTTTGTTGTGTGTTTTTCTGTTTTTGATGACTTACTGGAAAGCACATTGGTCGACGGAAGTTGTAATTAATTGTGCTATATTGTCATTGTCATATGGCCACTCAGACCGCTGGATCATGAGATAATATGCTCAATGCGCTCTGGCAAATCCCTTTTTATATAGTCTTTGATCTACGGTACATTTGAGCATACATTTCCCTCAAATCACCACATCATAATAAATTACTTAAAAATGACAACATTTATGTCCACATGCACATTTTTCCAAGAATACATTAAACCGTTCTGAGTCCAGTTTAAAGGGTTAGTTCACCCAAAAATGAAAATTAGCCCATAAATTACTCACCCTCAAGTCATCCTAGGTGTATATGACTTTCTTCTTTCAGACGAATCCAGTCGGAGTTATATTAAAAATTGTCTTTGATCTTTCAAGCTCTATCATTGCAGTCAGCGGGTGTTGCATGCATCAGTCCAAAAGCACTTAATTAAAATGCGCCCATCCATAAGTCTCGTGAAAACCAACGTTTGTTAACAGGAGCAAAGGAAGCAAAGTTTCCTTACTTTAGCAAAGGAAAACCAGTCTCCTCTTGGCTTATATCGAAATCCTCCGACATTCTTCTTTACAAATCCTCGTTTAATAAGTGACCGTTGTTTTGTTTTGATCTCTCCCCTTTTTTTATGGATGGGCGCTTTTATTTAACTCCTTTTGGACTGATGCATGCAACACCCGCTGAGTGGCATTAAACAGCTTGAAAGATCAAAGACAATTTTTAATATAACTCCGACTGGATTCGTCTGAAAGAAGAAAGTCATATACACCTAGGATGACTTGAGGGTGAGTAATTTATGGGCTAATTTTCATTTTTGGGTGAACTAACCCTTTAAAAAATCATATTGATTCAGACTGGTTTGATAATGAATCTTTAGGCCAAAAAAGTACAAAAAATTTATTTTTTTGTGGGAAGTTGTTATATCCTTTGTGATGGGTGAACTAACCCTTTAAGCAATTAACGTAATCTGAATAGGAATAAAGTCATGAATCCGAGTCATCTCTTGTTTAATATGTATTTCCCAGGGCGCATTATACAACGTACATTTAAGCCATCACGTTAATAATGCAAAAGGAGAGCAAGTAGAAAATACAATATTACTTTAATAATAATGATAATAATTAGGGCTGCACGATTATGACAAAAATCATAATTGTCGATTATTCCCTTGAAATTGTAATTGCGATTATTAATTATGATTATCACAATTTACATTGAATGATGTTTATACCATTGTTTGATGCAACTGCATGCCGTATTTTTATATGAAAATAAACAAGCTAAAAAAAAATCTTTAGATTAATAGTTTCACAGCACTAAATAATAATAATAATTATAGCGAAAACAATTCATGTGGAGAGTCATAATGCACAGCCAGCACCAAACGGACAGAACGGCAAAACGAACTGAATTATAAATGCCACCATTTAGAATTAAACAAACTTGTATTTGATGACCCGAGCTTTGTAGAGTAAAGTACCAGCAGTTCAAGCATTTTCATAATCTCTGATTTGTAAAGAAAGACTTCTCGAATTCATTCTTGTTCATTACGGCCGCTGTTGTCACCAGAAAACTTTTACCCTGAAAGCGCCAATCCGGAAGCCAGAAACACGGAAGTGTGAAAGAGGCTAATTGAATCAGACGTCATTAGTTGCATGTGAAGAGCACATTTCCAGCGAGTCCCCAGACGGCACTAAACGTGTCCGTAACGGTGGCATGTGTGCTGCGTTGCCTTCAGCGTTCTGCGCTGCTACAAAACTTAATGGAGCTCACACACGAGGGGAATAAAAGCGTTTAACGGCTGATGTCATGCAGACCTCGTTAACCACAGCGAACTGCTCATTCACACACGAGGTCACGTTCTCACACGCTGATCAGATTCAACTCATCAACAGCCATCAGCTGGAGAACAAACCATTCCAGACTCACCTTTTGGAAGAGGCTTTGAAGGCATTCGTGAGAATAGCCGGCGTTGCTGGCGTCGTCTTTTTTACACTTCCACTTCAGCTGAGGACGGGAATCAAACAGAGAAAATCAGCATCAATGCAACGCGCTTCTTAAAGATGACATAAATAAGATCCTCTGGTCTGCTGTGATCATTTTCATGAAAATTGTGACATTTTCTTCTTCAGTTCTCATACTGTAACGTAAAAATCACTGTAATGCAGGTTCGCCATCTTCTCAAGAATTGGGGAAGGTGGCAGCATATGAAAAAATGTCGTACAGATTACTCTAAAAAATAGATGTTTACGAGAGAAGATGGGGAAAATATTTGGCATTTCTTGAAGATGCTGAGTAAAGTCCTTGTGGTGAGACATTGTAAGAATGTTAATGATTTATTCTGTTATCATTTAAGTTTATTTCATTTATTTGTGTTTGTTAGATCTATGATAGCAATCTACAAATAATTGTACCTGACACGTTGTTTGGGTGAGCTAGGAGGAAGGGTTTACAAAATATTTAATTATCTGTAAATTGAATATATTGTTTGCCCATTGAAGAAAATAAAACGTATGACTCGTAAAAAAAAAAAAATCACATTTTTTTTTATTTTTTTTTTATGCTGATTGCAGTATGTTCAGAGACAATCTTAAATAAATACAATTCGATTTTATATGGCTAAGAAATTTATATATATATATAAAGCTAAAATTAAAACCATTAAAATATAATATTTTTATATTTATATAAAAAAGAATAAAAACTATATAGACATATAATACTGTTTTTAAAAAACTGCTAAAAATTACAAACACAACAAAATTAATAAAAGAAACTACAGTTAAAATAGAAATAGAAAAAAAAAACTGATTCAAAATATTAATAAAAACTATAATAGTATCTCAATAAAACTAAAATAACACTGATATATACCATTTTGTTTATAATTACAGATATCTAGAGAAAGAAAGAGATGTAATTTATATTTCTTTACATTAATTTTTTAATTTGGGTAATAAATATGTATATTAATGTAAATAATAAATAATGCATATAATATATAATATTATTTACATTAATATACATGTTTGCTTATTTTCCTTTTATTTTAATTACTTTATTTGTTCTTATTTTTATGTTTGGGTAATAAATATAAATATTAATGTAAATAATAAATAACGCATATAATATATAATATTATTTACATTAATATACATGTTTGCTTATTTTCCTTTTATTTTAATTACTTTATTTGTTCTTATTTTTATGTTTGGGTAATAAATATAAATATGAATGTAAATAATAAATAATGTATATAATATAATATCACATATATTACAGCGTATTATTTAGCATTCACATTAATATACATATTTGTTTATTTATTTTTAATTTTTATTTTGGGTAAGATTCTCTCAAAAAGTGTCTGCTTATGCCTCATGCGGAGTATTAATTTCATTTCTCCGGCCCAATAATCAACTGTAACACAATATTTATCAGCTCTCTAATAAAGAAAGTGAACACGAGTGCGGTTCGAGGACTCGGCTTTAATTAATGGAGCGGTCCAGTTAAAGAGCAAAGCTAATTAGTTTTAAAGGGCCTGTACTCGTTTAATCAGACTCCTCTGAGAAAGTCAAGACGAATGAGTTTTAAAGAAAAATACACGAGCACAGATCCGTCTGAAACACTATCAGAGACTGCTGGGAAAACTATTTAAGACTGAGTTCAAGCCAAACCTCACGTAACGTAACCGTACATCAGTCTAATTCAGCGCTGGTGTTTATTTTTGCTGAACGAGCTCACAAACATGACGCTAATTCACCGGAGGATGGGACGCTCGGATCAACCGGGAACACAATAATGAGAGATTAAATACATAAACACATTAGCTAACGTCCCCCTCCGTCCACTAATGAAGAAAACTGAGAGCTTTCCAAAAGAAATACAGTCCAGCTGGTTTTCCACAGATATGAGTCTCCAGACGAAACGATAAAACTAAAATAACACTGATATATACCATTTTGTTTATAATTACAGATATCTAGAGAAAGAAAGAGATGTAATTTATATTTCTTTACATTAATTTTTTAATTTGGGTAATAAATATGTATATTAATGTAAATAATAAATAATGCATATAATATATAATATTATTTACATTAATATACATGTTTGCTTATTTTCCTTTTATTTTAATTACTTTATTTGTTCTTATTTTTATGTTTGGGTAATAAATATAAATATTAATGTAAATAATAAATAACGCATATAATATATAATATTATTTACATTAATATACATGTTTGCTTATTTTCCTTTTATTTTAATTACTTTATTTGTTCTTATTTTTATGTTTGGGTAATAAATATAAATATTAATGTAAATAATAAATAACGCATATAATATATAATATTATTTACATTAATATACATGTTTGCTTATTTTCCTTTTATTTTAATTACTTTATTTGTTCTTATTTTTATGTTTGGGTAATAAATATAAATATGAATGTAAATAATAAATAATGTATATAATATAATATCACATATATTACAGCGTATTATTTAGCATTCACATTAATATACATATTTGTTTATTTATTTTTAATTTTTATTTTGGGTAAGATTCTCTCAAAAAGTGTCTGCTTATGCCTCATGCGGAGTATTAATTTCATTTCTCCGGCCCAATAATCAACTGTAACACAATATTTATCAGCTCTCTAATAAAGAAAGTGAACACGAGTGCGGTTCGAGGACTCGGCTTTAATTAATGGAGCGGTCCAGTTAAAGAGCAAAGCTAATTAGTTTTAAAGGGCCTGTACTCGTTTAATCAGACTCCTCTGAGAAAGTCAAGACGAATGAGTTTTAAAGAAAAATACACGAGCACAGATCCGTCTGAAACACTATCAGAGACTGCTGGGAAAACTATTTAAGACTGAGTTCAAGCCAAACCTCACGTAACGTAACCGTACATCAGTCTAATTCAGCGCTGGTGTTTATTTTTGCTGAACGAGCTCACAAACATGACGCTAATTCACCGGAGGATGGGACGCTCGGATCAACCGGGAACACAATAATGAGAGATTAAATACATAAACACATTAGCTAACGTCCCCCTCCGTCCACTAATGAAGAAAACTGAGAGCTTTCCAAAAGAAATACAGTCCAGCTGGTTTTCCACAGATATGAGTCTCCAGACGAAACGATGACACTGAAGCACAGGAACAGAGCATTAATGAGAATTATAGCTCAGCGTGGATCAGGTCCAAACAGGACTGATGTCCATTGGAAAGCTGCATACGCATGTGAAGCATGTTTATGTTTTCATTTTAAAATACATTTAACATTCATTTTCAATAAAACGAAATAAAAGTACAGTCGTGACCAAAATCACTGGCAGTGACATAAATTGTGTGTTTTGCAAAACACAAAATTGATGTCACTGCCAATAATTTTGGCTATGACTGTACATTTAAAATGATAAGTAAAAAAAAAAAACACTTAAGAAAAAATAATATATATGAATATGAAATATATATACAGTACTTTCATATTTTATAATATCTTAAATTATCAAAAAATTATCAAAATAAAACACTTATATGAAATATAAATATATGGACTCTAAAAAACATATTTTAGATATACTGTATATATATATATATATATATATGTGTGTGTGTGTGTGTGTGTGGCTCTGGAGCACAAAAGCAGTGTTAAGTCGCTGGGGTATATTTGTAGCAATAGCCAACAATACATTGTATGGGTCAAAATTACAGATTTTTCTTTGTATAAATCTTAATTTTGAGAAATTTACCCTTAAGACTTTTTAAGGTTTTGTGGTCCAGGGTCACATATATGTTTGTGTGTGTGTTTTTTTTTTCAATTTAGCTATTCACTTTTATACATATGTATATTTTATTATTCATTTATTTTTTTCTATTCTACTATTCACTACTATGCACATAAATATAATTTTATTCACTTGTATGCATATATTTTTTTATTCATTCTTTTTTTTTTTTGCCATTCACTTCTATGCCCGTACCTTTAATTTAGGAGTCACGTCGCTGTTACCCTGATGCACTGCTGAAGAGTCTGTGAGAGACAAATGAGGACGTAGAGAGAAAACAGAGGAAATATGAGTTTGATATCAGCTCAGGTATCATTCTCTCATTCAATCAGACGCAAACATCACATTCACAGCAGAGCCCTCTAGAGCTCTCTTTTACTGTCCCTCAGTCGAGTGTTTTCTGCTGCGCAGCGTCTTATTCTGTGCAGATTTGCCCATCAGCACTTATTTACGTGAGATGTTCAAGCGTCAGGTGCAGAACAGACGCTTTCATCTCCATGCACTAATATTACAGAGACATTAAACACACATAAACATGGATCTCATTTGAGTTTTTCTGAAGCAACCTGCTTGCGTGCGACTCAAGAAAGCAACTATATATTTGTGTTGTGAATAATTTATTTTTTAAAAATTATATAAAAGAAAAAAATGATTACAATATGTAATAAATCAATAAAAAAAATTTATAATAAATAAAAACACTGTTATTATAATATTATATTTAGGGAATTTAGGGATTTGTAAAAAAAAAAAAAAAAATTTAATTATTATGAAATGAATTGTTAATTTATTTTATATACTGTATATACAGTAGTCAACATTTGAAGTGGATCAAAAAATTTAATCAAAGTCCTTGTCCTAAGACAAGAACGCTTTTAGGTTTTAGGACAACTTTGATGAAAGGTTTTGATCCACTTCAAATGTTGACTACTATATACAGTATATATTATATATGTCTGTGTGTGTGTGTGTGTGTGTGTATAAATTAATATAAAATAATTAAGGGGCTGAATTTACCTATTTATTAAATATAAATAAATTATTATGAAATGAACTGTTAAGTTTAGATAGACAGACAGACAGACAGACAGACAGATAGATAGATAGATAGATAGATAGATAGACAGACAGACAGACAGACAGATAGATAGATAGATATGGCTTTTATTGTCCTCATTTGTAAGTTGCTTTGGATAAAAGCATCTGCTAAATGATTAAATGTAAATATAAATTTTTTTTTTATTCACCCCCCAAAAAAGTCTCATTTTATCTTTTTCAGCTGCTGCACTAAAACTGTAACACAATATTGAGCAGCTCTCTAATAAACAAACCAAACACCAGCACAGTTTGATGAATCATAATTTTTTTTATGTTCTATTTATTCATTTCTAATGATTTGTATCATTTAACACTGTGACAGATTCATAAATCTGTGCTGAAACGTGCCGCTCAAACCCTTCAGATCAGACTGAAATGATCTCGCAGAGAGATTGCGAGACGGCAATAATGAGCAGCTGTGTGTTGCGTGTCGTAAAATCTGTATTTACAGTAACAAGGACAATATTATCTATTTATACTCCCTGCATTGTTTATAAAGCAAACGCAGCAGCTGTTTCTGATGCTGTGAGCAGTGTGCGTTCCAGAAATCAATACAACAATCACAATAAAACAAACTACTGGGCAAATTAAAGGATTAAAGGCACATAAACATGATTCTTGGACTAATGAGGAAATGATAAATAAAAAAGATTGTGTAACTCCAGGTTTGTAATTTAGGTCTTAAAGGGACAGTTCACACAAAAATAATAATTCTGTCATCATTTACCTACTCTCATGTCATTCCAAACCTGTGTGACTTCCATTTCCCGGCAAAACATGTTTCAAAAGATGTTTGGAAAAATGTCTGTGTTTTTTGTCCACACAGTGGAAGTCAATGGGGTCCAATGTTGTTTGATTCCCAAAACTCTTCAATATCTTCTTTTGTGCTCAATAGAAGAAAGAAACTCATACAGGTATGAAATAGGGTTGCTCTATTTGGGGGGGGGTTCAGATAATTGTGATTTAAAATGCGATAAAAAAGCTTTAATAATAATTATTATTAATTAAATAATAATAATTATTATTAATTTATAGTCATATTGATATATAATCACATTTTATTATTACAAAAGAAACTAAATTAAATAAATAATTAAAACAAAATTATTTTAATTAAATTAAATATTAAACAACATAAGAAATATTGTCATTGTAATATTTCACTGTAAATAATATGATAATAATATAATTTATAATAATATAATTTTAATCTAAAGAACAACTGTAAAATTATAATACTACTATTTATGACTAATTTCTTCATTTTCAAATGATAAACCACTGCACTAAACCATACTGCAGTTTTGATTAATTGTGCAGATAGTTTGGAACAACACGAGGGAGAGCAAATGATGAAAGCATGTTTATTTTAGGGTGAACTCTCTCTTTAAAGATCTGTGTGTGTTTATTTATGTAATAGCAAATTTATTTATTTTATTTATTTAGTTTAATAGCAAAATTACAAGAAACTAGGATGGTATGTCCTCATTTAGACAGGTAAATGTTAAATAAAAATATATAAATATAAAATTTTACATTTTTATATTTTAATGCACTTGCCAGATGCTTTTATCTAAAGTCTCTTCCAATGCATTTAAGCCATAAGGCATATAATCATGCATTTCCTAGGAATCAAACACATGACCCTGGAGTTGCTAGCAGCAGCATGCATAAAGCATACTTAACGAGGTAAGAAAAATAACAAATATATGCTTTCAACACAATGTGCAAGTGCTTTGGATAAATGCATCAGCCAAATGCATCAATGTAAATGTGTGTGAGAGTGTGTTTAGGCACCTGTGCCTGTGTTTATGTCTCTCTCTCTCTGGATCTGCTCTCGTATGAGTCTCTGTTGCTCCTGTAGTTCTCGTGATCCCTCCTCCCGCAGACGGATGATCTACAACACAGAAACACGCAACCACACGCATTCCCAGAATTATTATATGCATAAGCAAAACAATACTCGGTGCAATTCAGCCGGCCTGACCCGCAGTAACCCGTCACTCCACACGACAAACACTGACACCTATTGGCTGCTCACTAATCAAACGAGGCATTACTGCAGCACTGACGCTTACAGGCAGATTCAGGATAGAAGAGTGAGGAGTTACAGTCTGAATGTGACTGTACATAGATAGAAATGTATGTATTTTAAAGGAATAGCTCATCCAAAAATGAAAATTTGTTGAAAATGTGCTCACCCTCAGGCCATCCGAGATTAGGATGAGTTTGTTTCTTCATCAGATTTGTAGAAATGTAGCATTGCATCAGTGTCTCAGCAATGGATGCTCTGCAGTGAATGGGTGCCGTCAGAATGAGAGTCCAAACAGCTGATAAAAACATCACAATAATCCACAAGTAATCCACAGCACTCCAGTCCATCAGTTAACATCTGGAGAAGACAAAAGATGAAACAAATCCAGCATGGATTATGGACTCATAATTTAGTTAAAAACATTGGATTTGTTTCAGCTTTTGTCTTCTCCAGATGTTAACTGATGGACTGGAGTGGTGTGGATTACTTGTGGATTATTGTGATGTTTTTATCAGCTGTTTGGACTCTCATTCTGACGGCACCCATTCACTGCAGAGCATCCATTGCTGAGACACTGATGCAATGCTACATTTCTCCAAATCTGATGAAGAAACAAACTCACCTACATCTCGGATGGCCTGATGGTGAGCAAATTTTCTGCATATCTTCATTTTTGGGTGAACTGTTCTTTTAATTGCAATGTAATTCGCTCTAGATAAAACCATCCGCCAAATGCATAAAAAAAAAAGTAGATATCAGCTGTACTTGGTTACTAGTCATCTAGCAGAAGAAAATGCATCCCAAATAACTCACTGTACATTTGGAGGGACTTACAAGCACTTTCCTACTACTAAATAGCCATCCGTTAGGCTGCAACACACAAATCACAAGCGCTTAATGGAGTTATATTCGACTTCACACAGATCAAATGAAGCTCTTACCTCCTCTTCTAACGTGCGGGTGATTTTAACCTCTTCTACTTTCACATTATCTGCCTGTTGCTCACGCGCCTCCAAATCTACAAAACAGACAATAAAATGTCATACGCATTACACAGACAATCATATAGCAGCCCATTTCTGCCAAGGAATAAAAAATGTAACCTCGACTTTTTAGATCACAATTCAGACTTTTTTTCCTTGCAATTCTTTCTCAGAATTGCAAGATATAAATTTGCAATACTGAATTTTTTTCCTTGCAAAAAGTCTGCATCTCACAATTCTGTTTTTTTTTTTACCTTTCTGCTGTGGAATAAAAAAGGTAACTGCTAATTTTCACTTGTAATTGTGAGTTTATTTTTCACAATTCAGACCTCTGTTCTCTGATTTGCAAGTTAATATCTCGCAAACACGATTTAACATCTCGTCATCATTATCACTTTTTTCTCAGAATTGCAGGTTTATATCTCGCACTTCTGAGAAAAAAAGTCTGAATTGTGAGATATAAAGTTGCAATTACTTTTTTTATTTTTTATTCCGTGATGAGAAAAAAGTTGTAAAAGATGTAAGCTCAGAATTGCAAGGAATGAGAATATATCTTGCTTTTCTGACTTTTTTTCACAGAATTGTGAGAAAAATGTCTAAATTGTGAGATAAAAATCCGCAATTAACTTTTTTATTTTTTATTTCTTGGCAGAAACATGCCTCCACACAATCAATTTATTCCCATAATAACGTAAAAGATGTAAACTCAGAATTGCAAGGAATGAGATTATATCTTGCTTTTCTGACTTTTTTTCTCAGAATTGTGAGAAAAATGTCTAAATTGTGAGATAAAAATCCGCAATTAACTTTTTTATTTTTATTGCTTGGCAGATACATGCCTCCATACAATCGATTTCAGTGGTGAACAGTAACGAAGTAGTTTTACTCAAGTATCTGTACTTTACTGGAGTAGTTTTATTTTGAGTAACTTTTACTTTTACTTCACTACATTTCAAAGTATAAGATCGTACTTTTTACTTCACTACATTTCCTAAAAATTATCGTTACTCCTTATAATATATCACGTGCTCCGAGACGATTCGTCCACCACTGATCGATTTATTCCCATAATAATGTAAAAGATGTAAACTCAGAATTGCAAGGAATGAGAATATATCTTGCTTTTCTGACTTTTTTTCTCAGAATTGTGAGAAAAATGTCTAAACTGTGAGATAAAAATCCGCAATTAACTTTTTAATTTTTTATTTCTTGGCAGAAACATGCCTCCATACAATCGATGTATTCCCATAATAACGGAGCAGAAATGAGTGTACTTGATGAAGAGTAGCTGACCGAGTTTAATCTTCTTCCTCTTGTCATCTAGCTTTCTGTTTCTCTCCTCGGCTTGTTTTTTAGCAGCACGGATCTTGTCGTAAGCAGCCTGAAAGAAAGAAAAACAAATGCACAAATGAACATCCTGATGAAGACCATCATTTCTATATCAGCGTGAGAGGACCTCAAGATGACTTAAAAACAGGATTAAACAACAGATCAGACATTTCTTATTATAATTCATTTCTTTGTCTCTGAAGAACCGTTTTTTCTGCGTTCCTGGAAAACATGCATATAGAAGTGTTTAAAACTGTGATTTCTAGACCTAGAAAAGTTATGGAAATGAACTGCCATGGGAATCTGTATTATGAATATGCATTTTTCTAGTTACGCCAGATTCTAAAAAATTTTATCAGGTAGAAATATTGAGTTTTTAAAAATCCACAAACTACTGGAAGAGCATTACACTCCCAAAACTTCTAGAATATTTTTTTATTATTATTTTAATTTTAATTATTTTATTTTTATATATAATTTTTTTATTTAATTTATGGGCACACCTACTGTTTTGCAAATTAAAAAATGTAGATACAGCCGAGGAGACCTATTGGATGCAAGGCCTTCAAATACTGTTGCAGACAATGGAGTCAAAATGATTGATCTCGTCTAATGTAACTGTGCTTTATGATGCATATAGGAACATGTCAAATGTTTGAGGTGATTCTCACCTTGGCAGCGGCGTCTGTCAAAACCTCCAGAGCCTGAGACAGCTGGTGGAAGAGCTCCGCTGCAATGAAGAAGAAAAAAAATCACATTCATTTGACTGTAAAAACTCTTGCACTGGTATAATAACTCCTATCTATTCAAACAGTCAACTGAACATCCCCGAAGAAACAATGCAAACTTATAAAATGGGATATGATGATTTATTTAAAGGCCTCGGATCATAGATTTTTATTACTATTTTGAAGAGTTCACATGACAACATTTCCTCTCCAGTGCATTTATTGAAACTCGACAGCTCAGTGTCTGCACACATTTACATATCAACACCTATTTCAACAACTTTAAATTCTAGGGTATTTAATAATTTTTTTATTGTGTTCATTTTTTCTAAACCATTAAAAAAGCGAAAATATAATTGCAAAACATTTTTACACCACATTATCCATTTTCGCCAAAATAATTAAAATACACATAATAATAATTATAAATTATTTACATATTCATACATAGTACATCAAACTGTTTTTAAATTACTTATTTGTTGTTTTAATTTTTCTCAAAGAATTTTAAAAAGAAAAAGCCTAATGTAATTGCAAAAATTTTAAATTTTTACCCCACACTATCCCTTTCTGCCAAAATATTGAATCAAAATATGCATACAATTTGAATAATGATAAATTAACATATAACTATTTATTTATTTATTGTTTTAATCTTTTCCACAGCATTAAAACCCTAATATATTGCAAAATTTTACATTTTCACCCCCATATTATCCCTTTCCACCAAAATAATTAAAATATACATAGAAATATTAATAATTAAGATATACATACACAACTAAAAGACAGTTTGGTGTACTTATTGATTGTTTTATTGTTTTCTAAATCATTATATGAAATATACCCGCAAAATTGTACATTTTATTATTATTATTATTAACGAATGAATTAATAAATATAACACACATACACAATTAAAAAAGTTTAAGGTACTATTTATAATTTATTGGTTTTATTTTTAACAAAGCATTAAAAAAGACACATAAAAATGCAAAAATTAAAATTTTATATCACATTATCCCTTTCCACCAAATAATATTATATATATATATATATGTGTCCCTGCAGCACAAAAGCAGTGTTAAGTCGCTGGGGTATATTTGTAGCAATAGCCAACAATACATTGTATGGGTCAAAATTATACATTTTTCTTTTATGCCAAAAATCATTAGGATATTAAGTAAAGATCATGTTCCATGAAGATATTTTGTAAATTTCCTACCGTAAATATATTAAAACTTAATTTTTGATTAGTAATATGCATTGCTAAGAACTTCATTTGGACAACTTTAAAGATGATTTTCTCAATATTTAGATTTTTTTGCACCCTCAGATTCCAGATTTTCAAATAGTTGCATCTCAGCCAAATATTGTCCTATCCTAACAAACCATACATCAATGGAGAGCTCATTTATTCAGCTTCAGATGATGTAAAAAAAATTGACCCTTATGACTGGTTTTGTGGTCCAGGGTATAAAATATATATAATATTATCTTTTTTTGTCTTTTTATACTTTTCTATTTTATATAGCAAGTTTCAAGGCCTTTACGCAGGTTTATTGTTGAAGAATTAAGTGCTGTAGTCTGACTCCTGCTAACGAACATGTTTCCTTCATTACAGCAGGGTGCCGGCGCTCTCACGAAAGCTGTTCCCGCTAATGACACCCTGCTGCGCTCCTGCGTGTAAACGCGGGTCCCCGCCGCAGCGCACGAGGGGCCGCCGGACCCCTAATGACTCACTGATGGCACGACTGGTTCTGCTCTCCGCTAACAAGCGTCTGCGAGCTCCGCTTTCACCCCCAGAGACCCCCGTCGAGCCAGCGGCTCGTGTTACAGCGATACCTGCGCAATTAACAGAGCGAAGCCGTCCGCACGCAACACCAGCGGCCAGAAGAGTTTCAAATGTTTCTGAAAGAAGTCTGTTCTGCTCACCAAGGCTGCGTTTATTTGATCAAACATACAGTAAAAATAGTGAAATATTATTAGAATCTAAAACAGCTGTTTTCTATGTGAATATGTGTTAACATATCATTTATTTCTGTGATGCAGCGCTGAATTTTCAGCATCATTACTCCAGTCTTCAGTGTCACATGATCTTCAGAAATCATTAACATTTCTGATTATTATCAGTGTTGAAAACATTGCTGAAAACCTGGCCTTTTACTCCAGGTTCACACATATTTCGTTTGCAGTGTGCATGCAGTCCATGTGTGGTACGTAAGCGTGCAGAAGCAGCACAGACTGTGCTTTCACACAGGAGTCCGCTACTGATCTGTGACTGTTTAATACAAACAACATTTATCCATTATTCTGATTTCAAATCCAAACATTGTTACTTCAAATGCCTTTTCAGCATTGCAATTAATTCTTTTTTTTTTACACAGTGCATCTTTCATAGACGTGTTTAAACGCAATAAATGTAAGAAACACATTATTCAATGCTTTTTACTTTTGCATTTACTTCTAGATTGATATATTAAGTTGCTCAAGCAAGTGGCAAAACATTTAAACTACTTTTTTTTATACATTATCACAAACATTCTAAATTAAAACGTACCATTGACAGAAACAGTCAGCTCTACTGCCTTT